TTTTTTTGTTCTGCTGTTACGTCTACTTCTCTGTTCTTCTTCTATCTTGCTCTTCCTTCTTTTTTCTCTTTCCTTTTTTCTTCTTCTACTTATTCTACTACTTATCACTATACTATTCTTATTATTATTACTATTATTCTCCTTTTTTTCTTTTTCTTTTTCTTTTTTTTTTCTTCTTTTTCTTTTCCTTTTTCTTCTTCTTCTCCTTCTACTACTATTACTACTACCACCTATTCTTCTTCCTATTATTTCTATTATTCTTTTTTTTCTTCTTCTTCTTTTCCTTTCCTTTTTTTCTTCTTCTTCCTTTCCTTTTTCTTCTTCTCCTTCTTCTTCTACTACTACAACCTATTCTTCTTCCTCTTATTACTATTATTTTCTTTTCCGTCTTTAAGGACTTGCTTCGAAAGTGTCAACATCGGAGAGAGAGAGAATAAGAGAGAGAGAAAAAAGGCATTTATTTACTATTTATAAAAGAAGTCAATTATAAAGTTTATTTGATATTCAGATAATTCACTGATAACAAAAAAAGATAAATAAATAAATAAAAAAAAAACATTTCCTTTAAACTCGCGTAAGCAATTTCATCTGTCTTTGAAATCTTTAAAGACAAGCTGTCACACAAGCACTTTTTTTCCGTAATTTCTTTGACAATTTCATTTAACATAAATACAAACATTCTCGAATATAGCTCTTGATTTGACTTTGCTTGGCTGAAAAAAGTTGACGGAAAGGTTTTCAGACGGAAACGATCATTATCGTCTGACTGGAAAATCGACAATTCGCTCAAAAATGGACAAAATTTCAAAAAAAAAAAAATTGACGGAAAAAGTGCTAGTGTGACAGCGCCTTAAGACTAACATTCAAATATGGCTACTGTTGTTAAAAAAAAAAAAAAAAAAAAAAAAAAAAAAAAAAATAGATATTGAACAGGTGAACGACGCTACGCACGTGATTCTTAATTTCATATATATTTTCTAATTACCTAATTCTAATTCTAATTCTAATGATAATTCTAATCTAATATTCTTATTAATTCGTTGCAGATAAGCGGGAAAACGAATGTAACTAACTCGATCTAATTATATGATTCTTTTGATAAATAACAAATATTGCTTTAAGAATATTTACTTTTATTTTTGAAATTAAAGTTAAGGTGTATTGATGATATGACTAGCTCTTTGATGAGCATATTTCAAATCTCGAAACATTAAATGAACAAATGTATTTTTTTCTTTCTTCATCTCTCTCTCTCTCTTTTTTTCTTCTATTTTCGTTCTCTGTTTATCTTTCCTTCTGTCTGGTTCTCCTTTCTCTCTCTTTCTCTTTCCTTGGCTGTCTGTCCGTCCTCCCACCCCTCCCTCCCTTCTCTCCTCTCTCTGCCTGTCTGTCTGTCCGTCCCCCTTCACACTCTCTTTCGCTTTCTCTCTCTCCCTTTCTCCCTTCCAAGCCCTTCACACCCCTAAACCTTTACCTTCCCTTCCCTTCCAATCCCAAGCCCTCCCCCCACCTCTAAACCCCTCCCCTCCCCACCCCAGCCCTTCCCTCCCCTCCCTCCTTCCCTCCCTCCCACCCACAAGCCCTTCCCCCCTCCCCCTCCCCCCCACCTCCACAAACCCTTCCCTCTCCTCCCCCCCACCAAAACCCGTCCCTCCTCCCCTCCCCCACAAGCCTCCCCCACCCCTCCCACCCCACAAGGCCTTCCCCTTCCCTTCTCCCCTCCCCCACCCCTTCCCACAAGCCCCCTTCCTTCCCTCCCATCCCCCCCATCCCAGCCCCACAATCCCTTCCCTCCCACCCCACCCCACAACCCTTCCCTCCCCTCCCCCCACCCACAAGCCCTTCCCTCACAAGCCCTTCCCTCCCTCACCACAAACCCTTCCCTCCCACCCCTTCCTCCCCTCCCCCCCCACAAAGCCATTCCATCCCCCTCCCCTCCCTCCCCTCCCCCCCCCTCCCCCCAATCCCTCCACCTCCCCCACCCTCCCCCACCCCTCCCAGCCCTTACCTTCTCCACCCTCTCCGGCTCGGCTCCCAGCTGCTCGCCGACCCTCACGTGGTCGAAGCGGCCGAGGCGGTGCGACCCCTTGAGGACCTGTAAGCAGCCGTTCTCCTTCGTGCAGTCGTCGATCGGAACGAATACGGATCCCATGTCCGGATACAGGCAGCCGTTCCTGTACCAGTATCTGGAAAGGGAAGGGGTGGGGGGTGGGGGTGGGGGGAGAGAGAGGGATGGTGAGTCGGTTTGTTTGGAAAGGCAGGGAAGGGGGGTTGGAGGGGGGTTTGAGGAACATAATGTATTTGGAAACGCCTACTTATGCCAAATTTACGTCTGGATGGATAAATAGTTTGAGTTCTTTTTGTGTACTCTTTAATAAAATTATATCCTGTATTGAAACTAACAAACTTACACTTAATAAATCTAATCACGATGCACTTATAAATGTCATACATTGTGATTCCACTGTATTTCACAACAGTTAAGTTAAAGACAAAAAAAAAAAAGTTATTATTCACTGCCGCTAACCTAACACAACCAAGTTCCCCCCTCCCCTCCCTACTCTCCTCTCCCCTCCTCTCCTACCTCCTCTCCCTACTCATCCCCTTCCTTCCCTCTCCTCTCTCCCTCCCTCTCCCTCTCCCTTCCTTACCCTTCCTTACCTTCTTACCCCTTTCCCCCCATACTATCCCTGTCCCTTATTACTCTCTTTTCCCCCTCCCCTCCCTCCCACTCCTCTCCTCCCCTCTCCCTCCCTTCCACCCTCCTCCTCCCCCTCCCCCTTCACCCCACCTCCCCTCCTTCCTTCCCCCCCCCTCCTCCTCTATCCTGCCCCCTACAAAAACACACTTACCCATAGTCCTGGTGCCACACGTGCCTGCCTCCCGTGTGTGCATCCTTCATAATCAAGTTTGCTGTGGTAGTGGTACACCTCTTGGCCGCCCATCACCTGGAAAAGGGGCGGCGAGGTTTCACAAGGGGGGTGGGGGAGGTTTCACAAGGGGTAGGGGGGTTTCCGGGGGTTTTCGGGGGAGGGGGGGCGGAGGTTTCACAAGGGGGGTTTCCGTGGGGTGGGGGGGCGTAAGGTTTTTTCTGAGACGTACCGTAGGTTAGGAAATCATCGGAGGGTTTGTGAAGGGTGGAAATAGGGCTGTTGGAAAATCTGTTTGTTTGTTTGTTTGTTTGTGTGGGTGTGTATGTGTGTGTGTGTGGGTGAGAGAGAGAGAGAGAGAGAGAGAGAGAGAGAGAGAGAGAGAGAGAGAGAGAGAGAGAGAGAGAGAGAGAGAGAGAGAGAGAGAGAGAGAGAGACAGACAGACAGACAGGCAGAGAGTGACAATGATTGAGTGAGTGAATGAGTAAGTGAGTGAGTGCGTATTGGTAAGATATATATATATATATATATATATATATATATATATATATATATATATATATATATATATATATATATATATATATATATATATATATATTACTGAAATACAGAGAGAAAAATATCTACAGAAATACAGGCACTTGAACCCACACAAAAAGTAACAAAAAACAGCATAAAGAGTAAATGGCAACCTAGTTACACAAGTTTCATATCTTAACTGGGTAAATAAGCTTTAATTAAACAATAAGTGCTGTCGTGAGAATTTCTTAGATAAGCTCGGAGATCTCTCTAAAGAAACACAACAACCTTCTGCATAATCTTTGTTTTGAGTCATTATACTTACTGTTGTTGCTGTTGTTATCATTGTTATTATCATCTGTATCATTATTGTTGTTGTTATTATTACCATTATCATTATTATCATTATCATTGTTATTACTGATATCATTATTGTTGTTATTATCACCATTATCATTATTATCATTATCCTTGTTATTACTGGTATAACTGTTTTAGATACTACTGAATTTTCGTAATGATCTGAATCATAGTCAGGATCAATGAATTTTTAAAAATAATTACATCACTTAACCCTATACACAGGGTTAACTATTATTATTATTATCATTATCTTCATTGCCAAGGTGGTTATATTTACGGACGTCAACATTGGACTTGAGAAAGAGGTGATTTTAATGTAATTCTTCAAGTGCGAATATTTCTATTTCATCAGGGTATCCTAGTGCCTTGGCGGAGGTATGCGTTCTCTGATTGATTCTAGTTATTTTTATTATTTTTATCATCATCATTCTTGTTATTGTGATTATTATCATGATTGTTATCGTTATTATTATCATCATTATCATCATCGTCATTATCATCGTTATTATTATTATCATTGCCATTGTTATTATTATTATTATTATTATTATTATTACTATTTTATCATTATCATTATTATTATTATCATTATCATTATTCTTCTTCTTCTTATTATTATTATTATCATTATTATATTATATTAATATGATTATTATTGCTATCATTATCATGATCATTATTACTATCATCATCTCATTATTATTATCATCATTACTATTATATTATTATCAGAATTATCATCACCATTAATACTACTATTTACTAATGATAATAATAATGTTATCAGTTTATTTCATATATCTTTATAAGTATCTTAGCTCAGCCAGCGCACCCTGCACAGCATCAGCTAGAAGTACTCTCGTTGCAGAACACACACACACACACACACACACACACACACACACACAACATCCACCCACACCACAACACACACACCACACACACACACACCACACACACACACACACACACACACACACACACACACACACACACACAACCACACACACACACACACACACACACACACACACACACACACACACACACACACACACACACGCGTGTCGTGGTAGACTGCAGCAGAAGTGTTATAGAGAAAGACTGAAACAGAGAAAGAGGATAAAAAACGATGATGATGATGAAGAAGAGGGCGAATGATAATAATAAGAGAAAGATAATAAGAAGACGAAATGAAAAATGAGGAAGAGGGAGAAGGAGAAGACGATGACGAAAATGAATAAGGCAATGAAGAAGGAAAGGAAGAGGAAGAGGAAACCGAGGACAAAGTAGGAAATGAAGAAGAAGAAGATAGCGAAAGGAAGAAAAAGAGAAAACGAGGATAAAGTAAGAGATGGAATAGACGTGGATTAAAACGGAAAAAAGTGATGATAAGAACAGGTAAAACAACGGCAGCAACATCAATAACAAAGCAATAACACGAAGACAAATCAAAAAAGAAGAAAGAAAAAGAAAAGAAAGAAAGAAAGAAAGAAAGAAAAGAAAAAGAAAAAAAGAAAAAAAGAAAAAAAGAAAAGAAAAGAAAAAAAAAGAAAAAAAAGAAAGAAAGAAGAGAAAAAAGATATAGGCCTATGTATCATTCAGCAAAATACAGACTTACAATTTGTATACGAATTACCTTAATGCAACATAGTATAACATGAATTAGTATAGAAAAAAGAAAAAAAAATGCAATAAGGGAAAAATAACGAAAATTAAAGAGAGAAAATAAAAGAAGAGAATTGGGAAAGACTTGAAAGGGAGTGACGGAAAGAGAGAGAGAGAGAGAGAGAGAGAGTAAAAGGAAGTGACGGAGAGAAGGAGAGAGAGATAAAGGGAAGGAGGTTAGAAGGGAGGAAGTGAGGGAGGGAGAAATAAACGAGTGAGGTAGGGAGGGGAGAGGAAGACAGAATGGGAGAAGAGAGAAATGGGCAAAGAGGGAGGGACGTAGAAGGGGATGGGGAGGGAGGATGGGGAGGGAGGGGAGGAGGGGGGAGGAGGGGCGAGGGAGAGAAGGAGGGAAGAGAGGAGAGGAAAGGAGACTGGAGGGAAGGAAATGGGAGTGACGAAGGTAAAAGAGAAGACGTAGATGGGTGAAAGGAGATAGGAGGATAGAAAGTGGAGAGAGAGTGACAAGCCTAGAAATGAAAAAAGAAAATACGCCAGTTTAACCTTTCTCTCCCTCTTTTTTGTCTTTTTTTCTCTCCCTTGCTCTCATTCTTAATTTTTGGTCCTTGCCTCTCTCCCTTTTTATCTCCTCTCCTCTCTCCATCACTTCGTCTCTCTCTCCTTGTTCTCATTTCAACAGCCAACTTAACGGTTTTTGATGTTTTCTACCTCTGTATCATCGTTTTCTTCTTCCTCTTCCCTTTCTCCTCCTGTCCCCTATTTCCCTCTAATTCCTAGTTTTGTCTTGTGTCTCTTTTTTCTCTCCCCTTCTTCTCCTCTCCCCTTTCTCTCCGTCTCCCTTTTCTCCGCTCTAATTCCCACTTTTTGTTCTCTGCCTCTCTCTCTTTCTCCCCTTCTTCTCTCCCCCTCTTCGCTCTCCTTCCCACTTTTTTATTCTCTGACTCTCTCTCTTTTCTCCCTTCTTCTTCCTCCTCCCAATTTTCCCCTCTCTCCCTTTCTCGCCCACCAACACCCAGCTCACCTCCTCCATGGTTTTTGTTTTTGTTCTCTGCCACTCTCTCTTTCTCCCCCCTTCTTCTTTCTTCCTCCTTCCCCATTCTCCCCTCCCTTCCCCTCTCGCCCTCCTTCCCATTTTTATTCTCTACCACTCTCTCGTCTTTCTCCCTTTCTTCTTCCTCTTTCCTTTCTTCTCTCTCCCTCTCTCCCTTTCTTCGCTCACCCACCCAGCTCACGCTCCTCCATGTTTTTTTTGTTTTGTTTCTCCTGTCCTCTCTCTTTCTCTCCTTCTTTTCTTCTTCTTCTCTTCCCTAATTCTCCCCTCTCTCTCTCTCCCTTTTCCCTTTTCTCTCCCCAACACCCAGGTCACCTCCTCCATGGTTTTGTTTCTGTTCTCCTCACTCTCTCTTTCTCTCCCTTCTCTCTTCTCCTCCCCAATTCTCCCCTCCTCCCCTTCTTCCGCTCACCCAACCCCAACTCACCTCTCCATGTTTTTTTGTTTTTGTTCGCCCTTTCTCTTTTCCTCCTCCTCCTCCCTCCCCTCTTTCGGCCTCTCTTTTTGTTTCTTTCTCCCCTTCTTTCTCGCCCTCTCTCTGTCTTCTTCTCTCTCTTCTCTCCCTTCTTCTGCCTCCCTTTCCTCCCTCATTCACCAACACCTTCACCCCATGTTTTTGTTTTTGGTCTCTGTCCTTCTCTTCTCCCTCCCTCTCCCCTCACTCGTTCACAACTCCCCCCCTCTCTCCCCCTTTCGCCCTCCTTCCACCTTTTGTTTCTCTGCCACTCCTCTTCGACAACCCCGGCTCACCTCCTCCATGGTCCGGCCACCCTCTGCTTCTCGCCAGCACCCCAGGACGTCTCTGCCCGGGTGGTTCCACAGGGTGACGCGGCTCCGTCTGTTCTTGCCGTCGTCTCGGCTGTAGGCGCGTTCTTGGATGACGTCACTGCCCTCCACGAACGCCCGAACTTTCCTCATCTCTTCGGGACTGAAGACGTTTCTGTCGGTTGTTCGGAGGGGGTTTATAAGTGGGTATAAGTGGTGGTGATAGGATCTTATACTTAGTGATAGGACTCATACTTAGTGATGTGACTTATACTTGGTGATAGGACTTGTACTTAGTGATAGGACTTGTACTTAGTGATAGGACTTATCCTTAGTGATAGGACTTCGACTTTTACTTAGTGATAGGATTTGCACTTATCCTTAATGATAGGAGGACTTGGACTTATACTTAGTGATAGGACTTGGACTTATACTTAGTGATAGGACTTGGACTTATACTTAGTGATAGGACTTGGACTTATACTTAGTGATAGGACTTGGACTTATACTTAGTGATAGGACTTGGACTTATACTTAGTGATAGGACTTGGACTTATTCTTAGTGATAGACTTACTACTTAGTGATAGGACTTACTTGTACTTAATGGGACTTGTATTAGTGATAGGACTTGTGCTTAGTGATAGGACTTATACTTAGTGATAGGACTTGTACTTAGTGATAGGACTTGTACTTAGTGATAGGACTTCTACTTAGTGATAGGACTTATACTTAGTGATAGGACTTATACTTAGTGATAGACTTATACTTAGTGATAGGACTTACTTAACTTTTTCGCGTGAATGAAAGCACGATAGAAGACGCCCATTTATACGGTAGTGGTTTCCGGTCACCCTGGCTTGGGTTATTAGGACACATGCGGGGCACTCACGAGGCTGGGGTCAACATGGAAGTCATGTGGTCTGTGCATGTCATATTGGAAGGGTAGGGGGGGGGGGGGGAGGTGAATGGGAGGTGAGGTGGGGTTTAGGTGAATGGGAGGGAGGGGGGTGTTAGGTGAATGGGAGGGGAAGGGGTGTTAGGTGAATGGGAGGTGAGGTGGGGTTTAGGTGAATAGAGGGAGGGGGGGGTGTTAGGTGAATGGGAGGGGAGGGGGGTGTTAGGTGAATGGAAGGGAGGGAGGGGGGGTGTTAGGCGAATCGGAGGGGAGGGGGGTGTTAGGTGAATGGGAGGGAGGGGGGGTGTTAGGTGAATGGGAGGGGGGGTGTTAGGTGAATGGGAGGGGAGGGGTTAGGTGAATGGGAGGGGAGGGGTCTTAGTGAATCGGAGGGAAGGGGGGGGGGGTGTATTAGATCAGGTGTAAAGGAGTGGATGTATGAATGAAGCTTACGTATTGATGTGGATTTTTATTTTGATTAATTAATTAATTAATTTTTGGTTTCGTTTGTGTGTTGTATTAGATTTCATTTGCCGTTTCAAAAAGACGGTGAAAGAGGTCAGATTTTTTTTTTTTTTTTTTGGTGGGGGGGGATAGGTTAGTCTATCTTTCTGTCTGTCTGTTTGTCTTTCTCTCTCTCTCAATTTTCTCCTTTTTGGTCCTTTTCTCACCTTCATTCACTCTCTATTTCTTCTCGTCGTAACTCTTTTTCTCTCTCTCTTTCTCACTCACTATTTGTTTATCCGTCTATCTACCTCTCTTCTCTCCCCTCCTTCCCTTTTCTCTCTCTCTCCCTCCTTACCTTTTCTGTACTCCCTCTCTGTAACCCTCCTTTAAATTCTGCACCTCCTCTCCTTCTCCCCCTCTTCCTCCCTCTCCTTCTCACCCTCTCCTCTCTCCCTCTTCTCCCCTCTTCCTCCCTCTCCTTCTCCCCTCTTTCTCCCTTTCCCTCTCCCTCTTTCTCCCCCTCTTCCTCCCTCTCCTTCTCACCCTCTTTCTCCCTTCCCTCTCCCTCTCACCCTCTTTCTCCTCTCCTCCTTTCCCTCCTCTCCCTCTCCCTCTCACCTCTCTCCTTCCCTCTCCTTCTCTCCCCCTCTTCCTCTCTCCCTCTCCTTCCCTCTCCCTCTTTCTCCTTCTAACTCGAGAAGCGTATGGCTCCCCAAAACAAAGCCCCAACTCATTAATAAAATGGGGCCATAATATACATAAAATGCTCTCCCACGCTCCGGTAATCTCGGCGGAGTGTTTAGAATGTACCCTCAGCGTCTATCAGAACACGAGGCGGAGGTCACATCTCGCTTGAAGGACGCTCACGATGGCGAAAAAAGAAATTAGTATATCGAGTTTTAAACACACTCTCGGTAAGGATAAAATGGCAACGGCGACGAAGAAATACGGAATGAGCACGAATTCTGCTGGGAAAAAGAGAGCCGTAGCGTGTATTCTGCTGCGTAGGTCAAGTTTTTTCGGCATAGTGTTAACGAAATTAAACTGGTATTTTTAAGGGTACAGAAATAAAATAACACACAGGATAGGAATAGTTGTTGTTTACACACTAGGTACTTCTTTTATCTATTCATCTATTTATCGATTTTGTTGGTTACTTCTTTTATCTATTCATCTATTTATCGATTTTGTTGGTTCAAGCAATAACGGTTATTAGGTTAGATGATGAGATAACCATAGAAATAAGGCGGGAAACATTTTATGTATTCTGTGGTAGATATTTTTTTCTTTCTCCCTCTTTATCTGATTCTCTCTCTCTATCTATCTATCTTTTTCTTTCTCTGCTTCTCTCTCTCTCTCTCTCTCTCACTGAATGATTCTCTCTCTCTCTCTATCTCTCCCTCTGACTGATTTTCTCTCTCTCCCCTCTCCCTTCCCCTCCTTCCCTCTCTCTCTCTCTCCCTCCCCCCTCTCGCTCTCTTTCGCTCTCTCTCTGTCTGGTTCTCTCTCTCTCTTTCTCACTGAATGATTCTCTCTCTCTCTCTCTCTCTCTCTCCTCTCTTCTCTCTCTCCTCTCTCCGTCTCTCTCTCTCCTCTCTCTCTCTCTCTCTCTCTCTCTCTCTCTCTCTCTCTCTCTCTCTCTCTCTCTCTCTCTCTCTCTCTCTCTTCTCTCTCTATTCCTCTCTCTCCTTCTCTCTCTCTCTCTCTCTCTCTCTCCTAGCACTAAGAAGCCATAAACGGATAGACTTACAACACCCCTTCTCATTACCCTTCTTCCCTCTTCCATATATCCCCCTACTTTGCATCTCCCGCATCTTCCCCCCTTTAATCCTCTATTCCTTCTTCCTTTCATCCTTTATCTCCCTCTCCTTCTCTCCCTCTTCCTCCATTCCCGCTTTCTCTCCTCCTCTTCCTCTTCCCCAATTTCTCTCCTCACTATCCTTCTCCGTCCCTCGCTCTCTGTTCGTCGAACTAAGGCAAGAAGGAAAGAAAAGAAGTGAAGTGAAGATGAGAAGAAAGAAGAAAAGAGAAGAGAAAATAGGAGAAACGAAAAGTAAAGGAAGGAGGAGGAGAGATAAGAAGAGACGAAAGAAGAAAAGAGAAGAAAAAAGAGGAGGAACGAAAAGAAAAGGGAAGAAAGACAAGAGATAAGAAGAAGAGAAAAAAAGAGAAGAGACGACACGACAAAAGAAGACAAGATAAGACAAAAAAAGACAAAAGTAGAGATAAAAAAAAGAAAAAAAAAGACAAAGAAAATCAAACAAACAAACAAACAAACAAAATATAAAAAACTAAACTAACCAAACTAATAACCCGAATAACCAAAAAAACAAACAAAAATAACAACAACAACAAAAACAAAAAACAAAGAGATAACTAACCTGACAAGAATATAACCGTTAGTGTCATAAGCATCTTTCATCTCTTGCGTGACAGACCACGTGGCGGCGTCATACGTAAACACAGAATCTAAAAAAAAGAAAAGAAAAAAAAATATAAGGAAATAAATACAATGAGTGAAAGAGAAGTGAAATTAACAGAATCTAAAAGAAAAGAAAAAAATTGATAAAAAATAAAGATAAAAGAAAAAAAAAAACATGATAAAGAAATAAATACAAAATGAGTGAAACAGAAGTGAATTAACAGAATCTAAAAGAAAAGAAAAATACATGATAAAGAAATAAAGATAAATGAGTGAAAAGAGAAGTGAAATTAACAGAATCTAAAAGAAAAGAAAAAAATGATAAAGAAATAAAGATAAATGAGTGAAAGAGAAGTGAAATTAACAGAATCTAAAAGAAAAGAAAAAAAATGATAAAGAAATAAAGATAAATGAGTGAAAGAGAAGTGAAATTAACAGAATCTAAAAGAAAAGAAAATGATAAAGAAATAAAGATAAATGAGTGAAGAGAAGTGAAATTAAAATCTAAAAGAAAAGAAAAAATGATAAAGAAATGAAAGATAAATGAGTGAAAGAGAAGTGAAATTAACAGAATCTAAAAGAAAAGAAAATGATAAAGAAATAAAGACAAATGAGTGAAAGAGAAGTGAAATTAACAGAATCTAAAAGAAAAGAAAATGATAAAGAAATAAAGATAAATGAGTGAAAGAGAAGTGAAATTAACAGAATCTAAAAGAAAAGAAAAAAAGATAAAGAAATAAAGATAAATGAGTGAAAGAGAAGTGAAATTAACAGAATCTAAAAGAAAAGAAAATGATAAAGAAATGAAGATAAATGAGTGAAAGAGAAGTGAAATTAACAGAATCTAAATAAAAGAAAAGAAAATGATAAAGAAATAAAGATAAATGAGTTAAAGAGAAAGTGAAATTAAAGAATCTAAAAGAAAGAAAAGAAATGATAAAAGAAATAAAGATAAATGAGTGAAAGAGAAGTGAAATTAACAGAATCTAAAAAGAAAGAAAAATGATAAAGAAATAAAGATAAATGAGTGAAAGAGAAGTGAAATTAACAGAATCTAAAGAAAAGAAAAGAAACATGATAAAGAAATAAAGATAAATGAGTGAAAGAAAAGTGAAATTCCAGAAAAAAAGATAAATAAATATAGAAATAAAGATAAATGAGTGAAAGAAGTGAAATTAACAGAATCTAAAGAAAAGAAAAGAAAATGATAAAGAAATAAAGATAAATGAGTGAAAGAGAAGTGAAATTAACCAGAATCTAAAAAGAAAAGAAAAAATAAAAGAAATAAAGACAAATGAGTGAAAGAGAAGTGAAATTAACAGAATCTAAAAAAAAGAAAAAAAATGATAAAGAAATAAAAGATAAATGAGTTAAAGAGAAGTGAAATTAACAGAATCTAAAAGAAAGAAAAAAAAATGATAAAGAAATAAAGATAAATGAGTGAAAGAGAAGTGAAATTAACAGAATCTAAAAGAAAGAAATGATAAAGAAATAAAGATAAATGAGTGAAAAGAGAAGTGAAATTAACAGAATTAAAAGAAAAGAAAAGAAAATGATAAAGAAATAAAGATAAATGAGTGAAAGAGAAGTGAAATTAACAGAATCTAAAAGAAAAGAAAAAAATTGATAAAGAAATAAAGATAAATGAGTGAAAGAGAAGTGAAATTAACAGAATCTAAAAGAAAAGAAAAGAAAAAGATAAAGAAATAAAGATAAATAAGTGAAAGAGAAGTGAAATTAACAGAATCTAAAAGAAAAGAAAATGATAAAGAAATAAAGATAAATGAGTGAAAGAGAAGTGAAATTAACAGAATCTAAAAGAAAAGAAAAAAAATGAAAAAAAATGAAGATAAATGAGTGAAAGAGAAGTGAAATTAACGAAATCTAAAAGAAAAAAAAATAAAGAAATAAAGATAAATGGGGAAAGAGAAGTGAAATTAACAGAATCTAAACGAAAAGAAAAATAAAGAAATAAAGATAAATGAGTGAAAGAGAAGTGAAATTAACAGAATCTAAACGAAAAGAAAAATAAAGAAATAAAGATAATGAGTGAAAGAGAAGTGAAATTAACAGAATCTAAAGAAAAGAAAAAATGATAAAGAAATAAAGATAATGAGTGAAAGAGAAGTGAAATTAACTGAATCTAAAAGAAAAGAAAAGAAAAAGAAATTAAAGATAAATGAGTGAAAGAGAAGTGAAATTAACTGAATCTAAAAGAAAAGAAAATGATAAAGAAATAAAGAAAATGAGTGAAAAGAAGAAGTGAAATTAACAGAATCTAAAAAAGAAAAAAATTGAAAATTAAAGAATAAATGAGTGAAAGAGAAGTGAAATTACAGAAATCTAAAAGAAAAGAAATATAAAGAAATAAAGATAAAGAAAGAAAAAACATGATAAAGAAATAAAGATAAATGCGTGAAAGAGAAGTGAAATTAACAGAATCTAAAAGAAAAGAAAATGATAAAATGAAGATAAATGAGTGAAAGAGAAGTGAAATTAACAGAATCTAAAAGAAAAGAAAATGATAAAGAAATAAAGATAAATGAGTGAAAGAGAAGTGAAATTAACAGAATCTAAAAGAAAAGAAAAAATGATAAAGAAATGAAGATAAATGAGTGAAAGAGAAGTGAAATTAACAGAATCTAAAAGAAAAGAAAAGAAGAAATAAAGATAAATGAGTGAAAGAAAGTGAAATTAACAGAATTTAAAAGAAAAGAAAAAGATGATAAAGAATAAAGATAAAATGAGTGAAAGAGGAAGTGAAATTACCAGAATCTAAAAGAAAAAGAAAAATAAAGATAAAGAAATAAATACAAATAAGTGAAAGAGAAGCGAAATTAACAGAATCTAAAAGAAAAGAAAAAATGATAAAATGAAATGGAAGATAAATGAGTGAAAGAGAAGTGAAATTAACAGAATCTAAAAGAAAAGAAAATGATAAGAAATAAAGATAAATGAGTGAAAGAGAAGTGAATTAACAGAATCTAAAAGAAAAGAAAATGATAAAGAAATAAAGATAAATGAGTGAAAGAGAAGTGAAATTAACAGAATCTAAAAGAAAAGAAAAAAAAGAAATAAAGATAAATGAGTGAAAGAGAAGTGAAATTAACAGAATCTAAAAGAAAAGAAAAGAAAAAGAAATAAAGATAAATGATGAAAGAGAAGTGAAATTAACTGAATCTAAAAGAAAGAAAAAATGATAAAGAAATAAAGACAAATGAGTGAAAGAGAAGTGAAATTAATAAGTCTTTTTACGAAGGGAAAAGAAAAAAAATGAGGGAGAGAGAAATGGGAATAATAATAAGGCCAATTACGAAAAGAAAAGGAAAAAAGAAATAAAATGAGGGAAAGAGAACTAAGATTAATAAAGCCATTTACGAAAATAAAAGGAAAAAAAAGAAAAAAAAGAGGGAAAGAGAACTGAAATTAATAATATGGCCATTTACGAAAAAAACATGAGGGAGAGATGATATTAATAATTTAATTAATCAAAATAAGATAATTAATCAAAACGAATTGATCAATAATAATTAACAATTAATAATTAGATAATTAATCAAAAACCAAAGAGAGAGAGAGAAAAAAAAGTAAATTTGACCTGCAAACGAGAGGGAGATGGAAAAAGGGGGAAAAAACAGAAAATAATGAGGCCGTTAAATAATACTATTACTACTACTACTACTACTACTAATAACAATAATAACAATAATAATAATAATAATAATAATAATGAATAATAAGAGAAGAAGAAGAGAAGAGAAAGAGAAGAGAAGAGAAGAGAAGAGAAGAGAAGAGAAGAGAAGAGAAGAGAAGAGAAGAGAAGAGAAGAGAAGAGGAAGAGAAAGAGAGAGAAGAGAAGAGAGAGAAGAGAAGAGAAAAAGAAAAAAAATATATACAAATATATATATATATATATATATATATATATATATATATATACAAATATATATATATATATATATATATATATATATATATATTATATAATATATATATATATATATATATATATATATATATATATAATATAAATGAAGACAGGATAATTCAATTAAATGAGGCTAATTAAGAAATAAAGAATAAAGAAAATATAATAAGGCCAGGAAAAGGGAGGAAGATGACGTTAATTATGATAATTAGAGAAGGAGAGGGAGAGGTAATAAAGAGGGAAATGATGAGATGGAAGATGGGATAAATTAATTATTGTATTTAAGAAGAGACAACCTGTGATAAAGTGGGAAGAAGGAGAGTTGATTACGGAAAATCATTATCATTATCATTACTATAATTTGTTAGTATCATTGTCTTATTGCTATCCTTATTATCAATTTTGTATTATTATTATTATTTTCATTATTATTTTTATTGTTATCATTATCATTATTACCATCATTATTATCATTACTATTATCATGATAATGATGATAATAATAATAATAATAATAGCACTATGAAGATGATTATAATGATAATGGTCATTTATTGCATGTTCGACCTCCCCCCCTCTCTCTTTCTCGCTCTGCCTCTCTCTATCTCTCTTTCTCTCTCTTGCTCTTTCTCGCTCTGTCTCTCTCTCTCTATCTTTCTTTCTCTTTCTCTCTCTTGCTCTTTCTCGCTCTCTATCTCTCTTTCTCTTTCTCTCTCTTGCTCTTTCTCGCTCTTTCTCTCTCTTGCTCTTTCTCGCTCTGTCTCTCTCTCTATCTTTCTTTCTCTTTCTCTCTCTTGCTCTTTCTCGCTCTGTCTCTCTCTTGCTCTTTCTCGCTCTGTCTCTCTCTTGCTCTTTCTCCGCTCTCTATCTCTCTTTCTCTTTCTCTCTCTTGCTCTTCTCACTCTGGCTCTCTATCTCTTTCTCTTCTTTCTCTCTCTTGCTCTTTCTCGCTCTGGCTCTCTCTCTATCTCTCTTTCTCTTTTCGCTCTGGCTCTCTCTCTCTCTCTTTCTCTTTCTCTCTCTTGCTCTTTCTCGTTCTTTTTTTTTCTCTCTCTCTCTTTCCGTTTGTCTGTCTATCTATCTTTCCTTCCCTCCCTTTCTTTATCTCATC